GGCCGGCCATGTTGCCGCTGTAGCCAGCTTACGCTGAGAAAATTCCTACCCTTTCGTTTGAAGTGTGGTCCTGAAAAATCTTCGTTTGAAGGGTTGTCTGGCCCTCCCTCTACCCCTACCCCTCCAACCAAAAGTGAATCGAGACACCCCTACCCCTTCAGGGGAAAGGGGAAGGGCTAAGGGGTAGAATGGGATTGGGCCTTAATATACTAATATACAAAAATTGGACAACAGAAGATTGGAAAAAGGTTCTGCTGCAAGATTTGGATGGTAGGGTCAGAATTTGACGTAAACAACATGAAAGCATGGATCCACCTGCCTTGTACCGATATGTTTTTTTTGGGGGGGCTGATTCGGAAACCGATATTAGGGAGTAAAAAAAAAAGACCGATATTGATATATCGGCCGATATTCTTTATGTGTAGGCTATATTATAGTACAGTATAGTCAAAAGTTTGGACACACTTCCCATTCGTGTGTCCAAACTTTTGACTGGTACTGTATATAAAATAGTATATATAGTCTACATAAACAGAATATAAGCACATTTTTTGCAATGATAACTCAAATGTGGTGATCAAACACTTATAATGATGTGACAAACATAGGCCTATGTAGTGGAGACAGGGCATTTAACAATTTAACAATAAGCTTTATTATTCAAAATGAGTCTCACATCAGTGCACTTAACAGTAAACTTCACTTCACTTATTATAAATTACTTCATTAACACAAATAGAACAAAAAATATATAACTTGAATTAAGAAATCAAACAAGGTAACCGTGTAGGGCAAGCAAGCTACAGCCAAACCAACAGGGGCAGGTTTATGCAGGAAGCACAGCTTTTCCAAATGTAAACATCTCAAATGAATAAATATAAATAATTAAATTAATATTTTTTTTTCACAGATTCTGCGTTGTGTATTTTCTGGTAATCAAATGAACATACAGGACACTCGCATTTTAAGTTTTTTTGCAGTTTAATATTCACAGAAACAGTCTATATATGTACTGATCTGTTTTTTATTTATTAATCAATGAAATTCCATGAAATTCCGCTTTATACAGTAAATTCCGTTTTTTTTGTGATTCCGCGATTCCGTCCATGTTTTCTGAATCGCAGAAATCATAGGGCCCTACTAATGTAGCAAATGAATATGATAAGTATAACTTGAATTAAGAAATCAAACAAGGTAACCGTGTAGGGCAAGCAAGCTACAGCCAAACCAACAGGGGCAGGTTTATGCAGGAAGCACAGCTTTTCCAAATGTAAACATCTCAAATGAATAAATATAAATAATTAAATTAATATTTTTTTTTCACAGATTCTGCGTTGTGTATTTTCTGGTAATCAAATGAACATACAGGACACTCGCATTTTAAGTTTTTTTGCAGTTTAATATTCACAGAAACAGTCTATATATGTACTGATCTGTTTTTTATTTATTAATCAATGAAATTCCATGAAATTCCGCTTTATACAGTAAATTCCGTTTTTATGACCTGATTCCGCGATTCCGTCCATGTTTTCTGAATCGCAGAAATCATAGAGCCCTACTAATGTAGCAAATGAATATGATAAGCTCATTGTGAGAGTAAAAGACGGGGACATTGTTGTTTATTTACTTAGCATTGAGTCTCTCCAACTAGGTGACAACGTAGCATTAAATCACCATTCAACAGACTCAAGCCACCACCGCACTGCCGTCTATTATGGGACTGCAGAAAGACACTAACTTTTCAATCTGCTACGTTATACTGATTGTACTGACAAACTATGCTGACACCCTGTCTGCGCCGCAACAAATAAAAAAATAAAGCGACCGTTGAAAATCATTTGAACTTTGCGTCAGCACGTCATAAACACTTTTCAATCTGCTACGTTATACTGATTGTACTGACAAACTATGCTGACACCATGTCTGCGCCGCAACAGGACGCGATAAAGCGACCGTTGAAAATCATTTGAACTTTGCGTCAGCACGTCATAAATAGAACAAGGCATCAGTTTACTGCATCCAGTGTAGACAACATGACTGATTATAATGGGTTCTATTCTACACCAGATGTGAGCGGCGCGGCAAAATACAAAAGAAATTCGCGGCTGGTATAAACACCAGCATTGACAGAGTGGCCGCGATCAGCTCCGGTGGCCGTAACACAGGCTTTAATGCGCCGCAGTCATGTGCTGTGATGCGTAGATCAGCTCTAGTCTCTAACGTCACTGAATCTGCTGTTAAAAATGAACCATTCATCATATCATCATGCAAAACTAAGAATTAGGATCATTGTAATGTGATGATCAAATATAGGTGCGGTGGGTGGTGGATGGATAATTTGAAGCAGCGGACTGAAGTTTGAGTTCATCCACGCATCGCCGGGTCACCAGTAGCAATGGAGCTCATGAGCCAGCCATTCATCATATCATCATGCAAAACTAAGTATTAGAATCATTGTAATGTGATGATCAAATATAGGTGCAGGTGGGTGGCAGGCGGATAATTTGAAGCAGCGGACTCGGGTTTGAGATCGAGCTCATCCGCACATCTCTACACTACACTGACCTGGGTCGCCAGTAGCAAACAATGGAGCGCGCTCTGCTGGACAAACAAAGTAATTACACCATTCAGAAGCATTTAATCTGCGTTATATGTTCTGTAAAAAAAGAATTTGTATCAGCGGCATATTCGCTGATACGATATATCTGTGACAGGCTCATATCGGCCGGTAATATCGGCAAAACGATATATCGGTCGGGCTCTAGTTCAGAAATGTGGTGGTGATTTAATGGTGTGGGGGATATTTTCTTTCCACACTTTGGGCCCCTTAATACCAACTGAGCATTGTTTAAATGCCACTGCCTACCTGAGTATTGTTGTTGCCCGTGTCCATCCCTTTATGACCACAGTGTACCCCATCTTGTGATATCTGTACCAGTTTATCATTTAACTAGTATATCTTCCATCAGTGCAAAGCGTTTTGAGCTGCATGTAGCCAGCTGGCTTAAGACAAATTAAGACAGCCCTCCACTTTACAGAACAAAACACAAACATAACCCACTGCAGCAAAACCGTTATATGCCGCATCCAACATCATATGGAGGAGATTTCAGGCATAATGCCATCAGTCAGTATAAACAGGAGAAAATAGTGTGATTAGTCGAGAAAAGCTCATTGAGTGTGAACACAAGCATTGATAAATGTCAACAGCTGTAAATAGCCACCACTGACCTCGTCCAGCTCTGAGATGTACACAGGTTTCTCCTCAAAGCCAATGGGCATGGGCTCGTTGGCGGGGATCTCAACCTCCTCATACATCTTAATCAGCTAACACTGAGGAAAATATGACGGCAGATGCATCTGATAAAATGACTAATAACAATTTCTGAGCCGTTTAAAATATTCATCGGTTCTTGAAAGGTCTGTTACAAATCATACTAAACCCCTACAAAACACACTTTTGTAGGCATGTTAAACCTAAAGTGCCCATGGGACACGGTACACATACTGGAGACAAAATGGTGAAAGTGTTCTCAAAACTGTAAGCTTCAATGTGACTGGCTTGCTTTTAAGGCTTGCCAGGTTTATATCGGTCTGCTGAATGCACTATCATGGATTTACCTCTCTCACCAAGGCTCTTCTCCCCCGATAGCTCAGTTTGGCCGGACGGCCAGCTCTAGGAAGGGTTCTGGTTGTCCCAAACGTCTTCCATTTAAGGATTATGGAGGCCACTGTGCTCTTAGGAACCTTAAGTGCAGCAGATTTTTTTTTGTAACCTTGGCCAGATCTGTGCCTTGCCGCAATTCTGTCTCTGAGCTCTTCAGGCAGTTCTTTTGACCTCATGATTCTCATTTGCTCTGACATGCACTGTGTGCTGTAAGGTCTTATATAGACAGGTGTGTGGTTTTCCTAATCAAGTCCAATCAGTATAATCAAACACAGCTGGACTCAAATGAAGGTGTAGAACCATCTCAAGGATGATCAGAAGAAATGGACAGGACCTGAGTTAAATATATGAGTGTCACAGCAAAGGGTCTGAATACTTAGGACCATGTGATATTTCAGTTTTTCTTTTTTAATAAATCTGCAAAAATGTCAACAATTCTGTGTTTTTCTGTCAATATGGGGTGCTGTGTGTACATTAATGAGGAAAAAAATAATAACTTAAATGATTTTAGCAAATGGCTGCAATATAACAAAGAGTGAAAAATTTAAGGGGGTCTGAATACTTTCCGTACCCACTGTATATAGTAAAAACAGCTAATTAAATTTATAAAATTATTTACAATTTAAATTCTTATTATACTATTGAATTTTACAATTTAAATATACAATTATACCATTTAAAATAACAGTTTTCTGCTTTAATGTTTTTTAAAATTTAATTTATTCCTGTGATGTCTTTTTTTAACTGTTTTGCCAATTTAAAGGTTTAAAATGCAAGTTCATTTTAGTTGAATAATTTGCATGTATTATTTTGTCTTATTATTTTTTGTTAGTAGGAAACTATTTTAAATTGTCAAATCTGTTAACATGATTTTGTTTCCAAATAAAATGATCATTCCAGAGTGGATATTTGTGGAAATATCAACAGTGAATTCCCTTTCTAGAAAACACGTTGTAATATCAAAAATCTTGAGCACACAAAACTGTTATCTTTCTGAAGGCATACTATCATCAAATATATTCATAGTTACTAACGTAACAACAAAATTCATTTACATCCAAAGATGTATTACTCCAAATAAAATGCTTCAAATCTTACAAAAGAGACATCTGTGTGGCACATTTAGGAGATTCAGGTACGGCCGACGAGGGTTCCTCATGAATCCCATATAAAGCAGGGGTTTTCAGAGTTATTTTTGTTTGGTTGTTGTCTTGCAGCGGGATGATTGAAAGGCTGAGAGCGTGAGGAGACATGTGAGGTATTAACACCTCATCTCTAATCTCTCTCCTCATGCTCTGCCTCATTTGGACGGCAGCATTTTTAATTAAACAGATCATTGCTCTTTTTCATCCTGTGAAATTAAACATTAAGAGAAAATCCCTTCTGCAGGAGCTCCAGATAGCAGTTTTATCAAGCTTTCTCTCTCTTCCTCTTTTCAATAGGCCACACTCTAAAATGAAGAGAGGTGCTTGTTCACATAATGAAGGAGAAAGACAGACAGACAGACAGAGACAGAGATACAGATAGAAAGAGACAGAGACGTGTGTGTGTGTGTGTGTGTGTGTATATATATATATATATTTTTTTTTTCTTTGTTGTCCTAATGCTTTGGCAATACAAAATGTCTTTTTGTCATGCCAATAAAGCTATTTGAATTGAACTGAAATGAATTGAGAGACAGACAGAGAGACAGGTGCTAACCTCTGCAGTCTCAGCTCCTTAGGGTCAAAATGAAAGGCGTTTTCACAGGTATCCCCTTCATCTCCTCGTTTCTCACGTTTCCTCTCCTTCTTCTCTTCTTTTCTGTAAATCTTCATCATGTGCTTCTCCTGCTCGGACTGGATGGTCACCTGGCAGCCGTATGTGGGCTTGGCGGATTCATCTCTCATCCCTTTAAGCTGTCCTATAGTTTCCATAAACAAAATAACAACAGGACAAAAATTTAGTAATAATAGTAACACAAATAATAGTTATATAAGATAAAATACACAGTGATACAGTATAAAAAATAAATATACAGCATACTGCAGCATTGTTGTCTTTACATAGCATACATATTCAGTTTTTTTAGAAAATTATTCCTATTAAGTGAAAAGTGAAAGTGAAGTGGCCAAGTATGGTGATCCATACTTGGAATTAGTGCTCTGCATTTAAAGTGCACACCAAAGTGCACACACACAACAGTGAACACACACACCGTGAACACACACCCGGAGCAGTGGCCAGCCATTTATGCTGCGGTGCCCGGGGAGCAGTTGGGGGTTCGGTGCCTTGCTCAAGGGCACCTCAGTCGTGGTATTGAAGGTGGGAGAGAGCGCTGTACATTCACTCCCCCCACCTACAATCCCTGCCACTACAAGACTCGAACCCGCAACCTTTGGGTTATGAGGCCGACTCTCTAACCATTAGGTTAGAGGTTACCATTCTCTAACCACCACGATTTCCCCTGAAACAATGAAAAGATGCATTTACACAGTCTGTGTAATGCTGCTTCTATTAAGTTTATTAAACAATGGTCAAGTTTAAGATGCTTCTGTACTTCTGTGTAAATGATGCCGCATCAGAGCCACCTTAAACTTGCATTATGCACAAATACACCCCAACTCGTGGTAAACTCACTGTACGTAACACCTAAAACAAGTATGACATAAAAGCAACAAGTAATAAATAATAAAACCTTTCTGTTGCACATATTCCCCTAACAATATTAAACATGCTTATTTTCATTGGTTGTGAATGTGTCATGTCATGCAGCAGTATGGTAATAAATTGCTTGCTACTGGAAACGTATGTTAGGTGTCAGGACATGGTGTAATGCACAGACTCGAGTGGCTTATTGCTGCATTTTTCAATTAGAAAATAGAGCAAAATCAATTTATTTAGAAAGTAAAATAATAAAACAAATACATTAAAATAAAATAAAAAATAATTAATATGAAATATCATAATAAATAAAAATAAACCAGGAAAGGAAAGGCCAGGAAAGGTCAAAAATCATGAGATTCAATCAGTTATTTTATTCTGTTGAACTTAACAGAAGGTCATTTTTTTGGGATACTATTTAAAACATTTATTTTTCACTCTATAAAAGGGTCTTTATACATGGCATTATATATAGCTGCTTTAAGCAAGTCCTTTGCTATAGGATTATTGTATTTGGGGGTCGGTGACATCAACAAGCTTGAAAAGCTAAATATAAACAGAAAATTGTGCCATAAAAACTGACTCAGCTGTGACTGCACAAATAATGCCATCATCCAGTCTGACAGTAAATGACTAGATAAAATGAAACGACAGGTCAAGCCTTGAAATCATTAACTTGTGGGACTTGGTGGAAGTTGGTCTCTCGTTGCTGATGAGAGCAGCTCAGCATCTAAAGGTATTTTTTGGTCCATTCATCTATATGAAACTATTTCAGCTCAGCTCTTGTAAGACTAAGTGCCACCGGCGAAGTAAAGGCTAGGGTTTAATATTAACCCTATCAGAGGGTTAAAGTGTTATCAGACTGCCTCTGTCTGCAGCACAACAGCTCAATAAAAAGCCCAATAGCTCTTGAAAGCAGATGAGATGAGATGATTGCATCGGGGCACGGGCTGATTGTCTGAATGATCTCTGCTTTATCTCTTCTAAAAGGCTCACCCACGGCAAACCCATCTGCTCCCCCTTTCACAACACGTCCTTCATTCCTTCTACCTGAACACTGTGCTAAACTGTCCCTCCATAGGCACCGCTCACTGGACAGTTCACACAAAAACAAAAATCACGTATACACCTTTTTTGTGGAAAACCACGGGAGATGTTTAGGAGATGGTACAAAATGTTTTGATTTTGTTTGTTTATTTGTTTTTTTCTATACAATGCAAGCAGAGAGTCTTGGCTGGGTGGCATGATGGCCTATGTAGGACTCATTAAAAAAAAAAAAACCTTTGCTGGTAACTATATTATACAGTATATTACACCATAGACAGCTTTGTTCATTTATTTTTTATTTAATTTGATTAGATTTTTTTTGTTTGTTTTATTTGTTTATTTCATGTTTGTTAGCCATGATGCAGAACTTGATGTAACTGCACTTAAACTGTAATTTAACTGATGTGCAATGTTCGAATGGCATCTATTTCACAACAGTTTAGATAGATAGATAGATAGATAGTTAGTTAGTCAGTCAGTTAGTTAGAAAAAAATATATATATAAATATAAATAAATAAATAAATATTTATAGTAATATCAGAATTTTACCTGTATAAATGTTAATAATCATTCTCTTAATATTGTGTTAAGCCACGTGTGACTAGTATTTAATTTTTTTATAGGTTTGTTTCTATATGCTGCTCATGATATAATGAGATTATTGTAATATTTACATTAACTTGTGTGTTTTTATCCCACAGTAATCTGGACCCATTGACAGAAACTGTATCCTTTAAAACACACCTCAAAATGATCAAATATGAATCAGTCTGGCAGTTACAGTGTCGCTTTTCTGTTTATTATATATATATTTTTTTTTTTATATATATATATATTTTTTTATATTGATATATATTTATAAATATATATATATATAAATAAATATATGAAGAGTTTGGTTCCAACACGCGATAATCGCCATTTTTAAAAAACATTTAGTTTCCGCCAAAATCAGTATTGTATCTGGTCGGTATTGAAAAGAAAATTTTTACTTTTACGTAAAATGTGATATCCGCAGAGTTATTCGGTCATGTTTTCTCCCTTTTTTTCCAAACCACGACAAACGCCAGTCTCCCTTTTCTGCAGAATGCAATATATCCACTCAACCAATCACAGCGCACCATTCCACGCACTGTAGACAGTAATGGCGGCGCTTTGAATATACCCAGCATCCTAGTTTTCCTCATCTACTTTGTACTTTGCGATCAACAAACAAACTTAGCTGCACGATAAATCACATGTGATTGTCATGCGCATCTCGTCAGTAAAGCCGGTTCTGTGATTAGCCTAATAGTAAATCTCCATCATGTGCTTTCAGATGGAGCGGCATTTAATACACGTAGAGCCGTAGATCACTGCAATATAGCGTTCATAATCGCAGATGAGTCGCATTCAATTATGAACGCGATATTGCGTAGCTTGTCAGTGTAAGTGTTTTTATTTATGCCATTTATGTTTTTGTTAATACAGCGTATAGCACTAGTCAATTAAATGAATGTAACATGGCAAAGATGAATGCACTTTTGGAAGTTGAATGTAAGGGAAATGTCATTTTAGAATTTCTGTGGTTTAATGTGATATTGTTGTTCATGTATATTTGTGATGAAATTGTATTTTATTGTTGTAATTAATTTATAGCATTAACAAGATGACTCATTGAATTCATTTTGGGAGCGATGACTGATTGAATGTATTTTTAGTCCAGTGCCTCCATATAAGATTAGTATTGACAAAGTTCAGAGGCTGTCATATGTGGATCAACTTACTATGTTGTGTATTTTCAACAGTTGCAATATGAAAAATAACTTTTATATTGATTCAATGGATTTATTGCATTTTGAAAAAATAAAAAATAAAATGTGTCATGGATTTACTGCATTTTGGGGAAAAAATTATGCAATTTTATAATAAATCTTTGAAAATCTAAATCTGGATTTGAATTTTTTTATGTTATTATAACCTAAAGATGCAATGTGAAAGTTTGAAACAGAAAATAGTGATTTTCATCTTGCCACTTTCTTGGTAAAGAAAACACATTTTTACTCAAATTAATCAAACTCTTCATATACATATGTTTTTTCTTTTGTGTCAAGAGATACATGAAGCAGCTGCACTGATGTCAGGTTCACTTGTTATGAATAATCTTTAAAAAAAAAAAAAAAATTATTTATCTTTAATTTGAATTTAGTTTACTGAATTAAACAACAAAAAGGCAATACTAAACAGTTAATGTAATATTATGTGATATATTAAACAGTTTTACAATAAATATTTAAGATTTTGGTCATATCTCCAGGCCATAAACTTGATAGTAATTTGATGTTTGTCAAGGTTTCTTGCACACAAAAAAAAAACTGTTGTAAGCACTGATCTTTAAAATTAAATAGGAGTTTAATTTCAGCTGTGCCTTTAAGACTTCGGTTTAAAGCTCCACTTCACATGTGACTCGAGTACAGTAAGCACTGACACACATGCTGCAGGTTTTGCGGTCAGGACCAATATCGTTTTTACTGCCTCATCTTTCAATAACAGCTTTGTTGTATATTGCGACAAATTCATGAATAAGTCCAGCCTGAAATGTCAAAAAATAAATAAAAAAATCCACCTTCCATTTGCATTTACATTTATTCATTTAGCAGACACTTTTGTCCAAAGTGACTTACAATTGAGGAATACAGCAAACTATTCATCATAAAGAAGCAAACAACCTCAGGAAGTGCTCGTAACACAAAGTTTCAGACTGTTCAGATTAGTACAAGCTAGACAGCTTTTATTTTTATTTTTTTAAGATGCAGTCATTTGTCAGACAAATTTTATTTAAAAGGTTGACTGAACTACCAAACATAGAAAAAGCTGACATTATATAAAAATGTTAACATTAAAAATTTAGGACATTTAATTTGAGAAACTTAAAATATTAAACAGCAAGAATTTACAATGTCAGGCTGATGAGCATGGTCAATTTGATTATTTATCATTGCCTTGTATATTTTTTTTACTTTTGGTCCAAGCATAGGGCTTATGATAAAATAAATATTTGTTAGACATAACTAATGAATGTTTTAGTTCCATGTAGCATTTTTTTTTATTATATTTTATTGTAAAAGTTGTGTAGTGTCTGTTTCACGTCACCATTAGGATGACTAATGTTGTTCTGTGAAGTTTCTTGCTTTTCAATTAGTATATACAATTTGTTATGATGTAAAGAAGTG